TTTTATCTTTTTCCTAATTTTCCCCCTTTTATCTTCGCATGTCTATTAAAAAAAAATAAAAAACATGTGCAACATGTTTATCCCACCGGGCTACCAGCAATCACAAAACAGATGTAAAAAAAAGCCCTTTTTTATTACTTTATTTCGAATGAAAATACTTCTTTTTATCATTTTCGATTTTTAAAAAATAAAAAAGAACGTCGAAATCCAAAGCAAAAAATATGAGGTTGAGGGTTTTTTTAATCCTACAACCCCCCCCTTTTTTTTTTGGCCTATTATTTGATATAGATCCAAAATTCTCGACCGCGGCCGACCTCCCGCGGCCAAGGTCTGCGGTCGATATCCCGACCACCGGGCAAGTTGAACCCCGTGGTCATGACCCTGGGGGATACACTGTGGCTGACCCGTGCCGAACCTAGAAGACAACAATCCAACTTCCAAACAACATGTCTGTACTTCCGCCACCAACCACCATCCATACCACTCGTTAGGTCGAGGTGGATGAGCCCACTTTACTCCCATATCTCTACAACACATCCCTCAAAGCACCCGAGGAGCAAAACAGCCCATCAGCAAACCACGAACCACCCTCACCTTCTCAAACCCCCAAACGCTCACTTTACTCCCATATCTCTGCAACACATCCCTCACAGCACCCGAGGAGCAAAACAGTCCGTCAGCAAACCACGAACCACCCTCACCTTCTGAAACCCCCAACAACTGCGATTTCGTCAAAACGTTCATTTTTTATTTTTTGCGCGAAATTGAAAGTCCATTTTTTTTCGATTTGTGTATGTATTTTATGCAGTGTTTTATGGGTATAGGGGGTAAAGGGGTAAGGGGTAAGGGGTAAGGGGTAATATGGGTAAGGGGTAAGGGGTAAGGGGTACGAGGTCATATGAAGTAACACATGAATGGTATTCAATCGGGCATGTCGCGTTGTTGCTTTGTTAAATACATTCATACGTTTTCATGCGTGTCTAGCCAGTAGAGCCAATGATCTCTTTACATTTGCAAAAAAATAAACAAATGTTTTGCTTTCATAATATCGTCTATCAAATGTCATTTGTTGCACAAGTAACTCCTATTTTGGTGTGACAAGTACATCTAAAGCGATCCGTCCCCTTATATTGTGGATGTCGTCGAAAGAGAAGTTGAATGGTGGGAAAAATCCTCTTGCCAACAGTGACGCACATATTAGCATAAAGACACCGCATTCGTTAATGCCGCGCTGTTTAGGAATGCCTGACACATTTCATATGTGGTTGAAATCTTTTGTATCCACCACCTTTCCCTGCTCAACCGATCTTTCGAACAAGAATCTTGCGAAACCACATGTCACTTTCCTTGCCAATTCTTTGTCAGGCGTAAGCGAGTCGTAGTACTTGATTTTTTGGCGCCTTAGGTCAGCTATTACTAGTGTCCAATGGTTGGAATTCCGGACATGGAATGAAGCTATTATTAAGTCCACGTCACCCACATCGATATCTGTCATCCACTTTTGCACTTCGCTGTATTGGTATTGCATGTCGTCGTCGAACAATTTCGCGAAGAAGAAGGAACTAAAAATTGCTGTTATCGGGATGCGCCCTTTTCCTTCTACCACTGTTCTGTCTTGTCCACTATCACACTCGCGATGGCTTATGCGACACATGTTGTCAAGCCTTACGAGGTTCAAATAAAAGTTAACTATTTCGTTGTTTAACCAATTGCCTTGATATAGTATCAAGCTCAAATCATGCCCGGTTAGTGTTAGTTCTTCTTTTGTTGGCCCGTTGTACGTGGATATCCAGACCGTCCGATTCTCCGCTTGCACTGAATCTCGTAAATTTTGCACCGCAACCGTCTCCTTCTCCGATAACTTATCCGTTGCTAAGTGGATCGTCCATCCCTGTTTGCATCTTCGTACTTCTTCTATGTTCCTCCTTTCTGCACATGACAATGCATTATGGCGCAACGTAAGCTATTGTGATCGGGGCCTGCCATATTTGCATGCTCGAAACGGCGGATAAAATTTCAATTGCTAAAYCCTGGCAACAGGACACTATAGCGAGTTGACATGAACACCCCGACCTCCATCTTTCTCGTAATATGGCGCATAACACAACTACAATTCTTGCCAAATTTTCGTGTACTTTTTGAAAGCAAATAGATCAATGATACTTTTCGCAATCTATGATGGTTAACGGTAACCCTGCTTCCATCAGTTCTCTGATGTTCATGTTCAGTACTCTGGGCAGTATTCAGAATATAAGTTCGCTATTCCAGCCTTGCTGTTTCACATATTTTCCTGTTTTTTTTTTCGTTTCATTTTGTAGTATGGTTTCCTGTTTTTAAGTTCGTGGGGATTTAGGTTAGGACGACCATTCGCAGCGCCCTAGAAGATGGCATAACAAGTTCTCTGAAATTAGAGGTGTTCTTGACACATGACAGGCAAAGTGCCCCATATAGTGTGTTTTCATATACCTTTATTATAAAACCGTACCAAGCACGCACATACAATTTAATCCACACACAGAACCTAACGCTGGTGACGAGTCGACCTTTGCCTACTCACACAGATGCACACACACACACACACACACACACACACACACACACATACGTATCGAGATGGGGCACCCTCTATTATCGACACTACAGTTTCGAGAATTGCTGTGTCACAATAACACTTTCATTAAGACAACAATATAACCCAAAACGCGTTCACACCCATTCCTGTCTAACATAGTTTTCTAACATAGTACCCAGCGACAACCTATCAATTTAACAAAAAATGCGTAGACACCCTATGTGAGAACCGGTGAATATCGCATCATGATTTGTTGCGACACATCAATATAACCTGAAACGTGTAAACGCCCATGCCCGTCTAAGACTTTCCTACGCATCAAACACAGTTTTCTTAATTACTGCTCTCGTTGACCGTCTCGGTCGTTGCGCGTCCTCTTCGTCGTCACCTGCCACTCGTGGTGCAACGTGGTCATCTTTCTGGTCGTTATCTTGGATCATATCCTCGCCCGTACTCTCCGATCTCATATCTATTATGGAAATGTGTTCGCGAGATCCCTCACCTTTCTTTGTCTCCTCTGTTGTTGCCGCCACCTGCTCTGGCGTCACCTTCACGGTCTGGCTTTCAACATCCTGGCCCGCATCGGTCTCCATCATTTCAGATACGCCTTGCCTCGCCGCCACTGTCGCGACAAGAGACCCAAAAGATCCAACGATTGTTGCCCCATCGTCGACCCCGCGCGTTGGCGGCTTTGTCAATGTGCCCGACTCCATGTCGTCGCCGTCCTTGAGTATCATAGTGGAATCCCCCATTGCGCTTCTCTGTGTGCTTTGTTGAATACATGCTCGTAACTGTTCATTCTGTATGTGACCTGCGTTCGCACGTGTATCCGTTTCGCAGCCTGCATCCCCTCTGGCCATCGCAACAATGGTGTTAGACGCGATGACGTCTTGAGTCTCCAGAGAGGTGATGCTATCGATTCCTTGCACTGGTGACGCTTGTTTGATTTTCCAATCGATGGAGCCGTACGACACACTTGATGCAAGATCGTAGAACTTTGTGCCGAATTCTAGTTGTCTGTTCGCACGCTGTTGCTCAAACAAAGTTTTCGCCTTTGCCGCTACAGCCACCTCGGTTGCACCGACATTTTCTTGTGCAACCCGCCGAAAAAGTTGCGTCTCCATCACGCTGTGCCATATCGAAGCGTCCTTTCTTTCCTTCGCGACCCACCCGCGGTCTCTTGTCTTCACAGCCATTTGCCACTTGCCCGCAAACACGCACGGTTCGAACACGCCCTCATGCTAGAGAATATCATGACCCCTGTCCTCCTCCGATGACTCCTTGTACTTGTCTTGCAGCAAGTATGGCACTGAAGGGTCTTGAGCAAAGCCTTGAGGCAACGGTTTTCCTGGCACGAGCTTCAGCATGACTGCTGTCATATCCATGTCTTCATCTTCATCTGTGTCCATCGACGTGAGCGTTCGCTGCTCGGCCTGCGGTGCATGTGTCGATGATGGTCCAGCTGTCGGCAGGGTCATTTCACACCCATTCTCTCCTCCCCCTGTATTGCCCCGTGAGTTAACAATTCCCTCACTCGCACCCACCGGGTTCGTCGGTACACCATTCTTTTCTCCGCTTGCATTCATTCTATGTTCCACATCTGCCTCACTAGCATGTGTCGCTCCCAAACTCGACCTCGCCTTCTCCGCTTCTGCGTTGGTGCTCCCTTGCGGCTCCTCGGCACGTGCTCCCTGCGCCAAACGTCGTCTCGCATGCGACGGAACGTCCAGGTCGGAGTCTGGCGTGTCTTCTTCACAATCGATGTTGTTGAAGTTCCCCACTTTACGTGCCAAGTCTGCATAGTTCTAGTGCTCTTTTCTTCATATTGAAATACAGATGCTCACAACGTGCGACGAACATGTGGAAAGCACCAATGTGTGATCCGTGGTACTCGTTCATTGCTATCTCGAGTTCACTTTTCCTGATGACGTATTCGTTATCAACCGCCGACCGTGGAGCGTCACCGAACAAGTAAGGTCACACTTTCTCCCTCTTCCTGCCGAGCTTATAGTAAATGTCCCGGTCCTTGCGGTGCTCGACTTGGGGCTTTTCGAACCTGCATTTGTTCCTCGGATCCTTCACATAAAACTTTCAAACCTTGGAAAGGTATGTGAGCTCTTTTGTCGTGTCGTCACACGCAAACATGTAGTGTCCGGCGCGAGCGAGTTCCCTAATCAGTCCCGCATGCGCACTGCCCAACAGCATCACGCCATCGCCCTCCCTGATGAATGAGCTGCACAGTTTTCGGAGACGTGCTGACTCTCGTTCCATCCAAGAATAAACCGCGTCGGTGTCGCCTTCCACGCCGATACACTCCCCTTAGCACCTCACAAATTCACCCTCTTCAACGTTCAAATTTGTCAACTCGGCTTGCAATTTCGGCGCAACCGCTATATTGTCCAAATTGTCGTTCTCGGCGTGGAGGACAATAGCCATCATGTCAGTGTACCGAACTGCAATGTTGCCGTACTTGTTCAAGGTTGTCGAAGGTGTATAGTGTTTGTACCATGACCTTGTGAGCACCTCAACATCATCCCAGTTGTACACACTCTGCATCGCCTGTTTCTGGTGTTTCATTGACGCGAAAATGATCAAGGCCCAGTTTTCGCCACAGCATGTCATGAGAAAAGCGTACAGTTTGGAAAAGGCGTCATCATCCCACAGAACACATTTCGGTGATGTTGACATATCAAGAATGGTTGCCCGTATCTTCATCCCCCTCGCTGTACCAACAACCTCCTCGTTGTCGGTGAGCACTCCCTTCGGTTCGATTTCAAATGGCAGGATCGTGGTAATCCTCTTCCCCACTTCCCAAAATATCTGACAAGCACTGGAGGATATCCGATTAACCTCCGCTCTCAGGTCGTCCAAACAGTCGATTGCCTCGTAGATGAAACACTTGAGGTGGAACGGGGTTTTCTTGTACATGCCTTGGGTTGCCTCCAATCCCGCACCGTTCTCACCATTAATCTCATCAGGACCGCCCAAACGCCTGGACACCTTCCTCGCCTTGTCGTTAGGGATGCGGTCGCGTTCCTCGGTCCATTTCTCGTCCGTCAGGCCGTTTTTGTTGTACCTCTCCAAGATGGTCGTATAACCGATGAAAAAGTCAGCGCTCCACTCTTCTTTTGACCTCCCCTCGGCCTTGAACAATATGTAGTTGAACATACGGACCATATATCTTTCACGCAGAGTATATTTAACCAGGTCCGCCATGTTGCATCTACCACGAGGTACCGAACGTGATGTCACGATGACATCACCACGCATCATGTGGTGAAGCGCCACTTGCTTCTCTCTCGCTGTCATATCGCGGAACAGCTTGAAGATTGTCGGTGTCAAGTCAGGTATAGACACCTTTGCGCCTGGTGGCCCCTTCTTGGCCTTGATGCAGTGGAACAAGACTTTTTTGCAGGAGTTGTCCTTGAGGAAGTATTGGCCAGGCAGCCTTCCTTCCACTTTCCCCGGCAGGTCGATGTATTTCACACCGTCGACTCGCGGCAATAGCCCCTTCTTGTACATGTCGAAGAATTTCTATACTAGTAGCCATACTGTTTCACCGCATTGCGCAAGATTCATGTATCCGCGCATCTTGTTCATCCAGTCCTTGCAGTAGTCGTTCTCCAGGGACGAGTTCATGAGACTGGAATCAGGTGTCATTTTGCAGGCGGCGTTCATGAACTCTTCCCATTTCTTTTTCCGTTTCATTCCCTCGACGTCATTTGGGGACACGGTCCCTGGCAGACGGATCCGGCCATTCCTCTTATCCCAAAATGTTCTAATTTGGCGCACAGATGACGAAAACAATCTCGGGATCGAACGCTCCTCCCTCGTGTTTTCGAACGTCGAGACGTACGGATATCCTCTCTTTCTGTCATCGTCAAAGTAGACAACACGTACGTGAGAGTACGACCTCAAGCCATACACTTTCTCGGCCGGTGACTTGTCTTTAATGAGTCTGTTCATTGCCTCAGCCATGTGCTGGCCAGCAACAATATACCAGTTGTATGTATGAGCAATTTCGACGTCGAATCGCTCAGGTGTGATCCGTCGGCCTTGAGACCCGTCCGTGTTGGGCACAATGGAAGCCAGGATGAAAGTGATGAAATCCCACTTCCCGTTGGTTTCCTTGGCCACATGATGGATCGCATCATATATGGACTGCACCAATGTTTTGTCCAACGTTCTATGGTTGAAGAGGATGTCACCTTCAGGGATTGGCAAGATCTTCGTGACGTCCACTTCAATGTGTTCCCTTTTCTTCTTTGCAAACCCATCTTCATCGAACTCCAAGAAGAAGCACCGTGTTGTGTCGATGGCTTCATCACGGGTGTCGGCGGAAGGTTGTCTGTGTTTCGATATATCTCTTGGAGGAACCCCTTCGACATCCTCTCCAGAGTCACCCTCATCCACCATCTGCTTTCTTCTCGGTGGACGTTTCTCCGCTTTTGTCGCTCTTGTCGACGCGGACCCTTTTCATTTCTTCACGCTTTCAACGACCGCCTCTTGAGAAGCTTTGAGCGCCTGTCGAGATGCAACGACAGTGAGTTTCTTCGCARCGCGCTTATCCGCCGCCGCCGTTGGACTTGTTGAAGATTGTCACTTCCTTTTCTGGACACTGGCCTCCGACCGCTCTCTTGTTGCGTCGTCGACCCCCACATCAGCCGACCGCTCTTGCCGTCCATCGTCATCACCTACAGGATAGGCATGATTGTTTTCTCCATCGCCCCTGTCGTCCTCCTCATAGTATTGTTGAGACTCCCCACCCTCGCAGTCGTGCATAGTTTCCTCACGATCCTCTCTCTCTCTCTCCCTCTCGCTGTTCTCCTCTTCGACGTCATCCTCATCGACACCACATTCGTCATCGTCGACTGCATGATTACCCTGTGGATGTCGATCAACACATACCCGAGAATCGTCCTCCGTTTCCTCGTCCGATCCTTCGCTTATCTCTCGCAGCGCCGCCTTCCTGGATGCACCACCTTAGTCCTTCTGGCAACTGGGAGAGGGACGAGTTGGCAGGGCCTTCCTTTTGTATGTGATGACAGGGGTGCCTTGGTCTTGCCGGCTGGACGGTTGAGACGGTCCAACACACTCCATCCGGCGGGACGAACCCACAGGAGGACCATGCTCATCCTCTCCAGGTGAACGACGCGGCTGGTTCTGTTTGTTGCGGCGCCGGCCCCCACTCGCTGACGTCTGCTGCGTTGGAAAACTATGTGGCATCCTCTGTCTCTCTGTCATTGCTATACCGGGAAGATCCTCGTCCGGCGTGTCAAAAGGCACGAATGTCGGGGACATACGATGGCCGTCCTCAACCGTGGGACTGTTTCCGGATCTCCTGTAGCTGTTCGTTTTGGCGAGGAATTTAACGGGGCCAAGCATCGTCAACACACTCCCGTCTTCTTTCGGGGACACGTCTAAGGCTTTCATGGTAATAGCCTTACCGTCATACCCCTTAAACAGATCGTAATCAAGGCTTACTTTACGGTCGACCCTCGCATGGTCCACTCCTTGTTCGTCGAACACCGTTGTGGGGGAAAAACTTCCTGAACTTCCGTCCGTGCCCGTCCACCCTCTCATCCTCGGATTTAATAATCCCTCCAACACAGAACCAGTCGTCACCCGAGGCGTTCTTCAGAAACACAGCGGCCCCACATCCCGCCTCGTGTAGCCCCCCCACCCAATCAAGGGCCCACTCCCTATCTCTATAGATTGTGCACGTGTTGTAGACTCTCTTTTCTGGGACAGCAGATGCTCCTCCTGATGGCAGGCACATTCCAAACGAAGGAACGGATCGCATTCCGATTTCAAACCTTCCACCATCGCCTCACGTGAGTCGCCGACGCATTCGAGCGTCGCATGGTATAGGGCGTTCTGAAAACGCCCTACCCCGTCCGGTTCCGCGAAGCAAGGCCGAGGGGGCACGGCGTTTCGAAAACGCCACACCCCGTCCCGTCATCGGAGACGAGAGGGAGCGGTGATACAGCGATCTCGAAGTGCCGCACCCGTCTGCCCTGTCCACCTACGGGGCCGGGCTACGGCGTTTTGGGAACACCATGCGGCCCACCTCCCTATCCTCTCCGAAAACTGGAGGGGGCACGACGTTTCGAGACCGCCGTACCCCCCCTCCCACCCCCACCGAGAACCGGATGGGGTACGGCGTTTCCGAAACGCCGAACCCCCTGGACCCTGTTCACATACAGGGCGGAGGGGGCACGGCGTTTCGAGAATGTCTTACCCCCGCTCCCACCCCCCACAGAGAAGTGGAGGGGGAACGACGTTTTCGAAACGCCGCACCCCCTTTACCCTGCTCACATACCCCCTTCAGTAGCCCGGAGGCGAAAGGAGCGGGGGTACGGCGTTTCGAGAACGCCGTACCCCCGCTCCCACCCACACCGCGAACCGGAGGGGGTACGGCATTTTCGAAACGCCGTACCCCCTTGACCCTGTTCACATACAGGGCCGACGGGGTACGGCGTTTTCAAAACGCCGTACCCCCTCCACCCTGTTCACATATAGGTCCGAGGGGGTACGGCGTTTTCAAAACGCCATACCCCCTCGACCCTGTTCACATACACGGCCGAGGGGGTACCGCGTTTCGAGAACGCCGTAAACTCC